AACAAAATCGGATTAGTCATTTAGTGCGGCGGTCACGCAATATATTTCCACTCAACAGCTAAGCGTTAGTCTGTCTAACAACACAAATAAGTATGGATAAATGCATTTTAGAATATTCTTAGTGCAAAATAGTTGGTATATACACTATGAGGTACATTGACTTGCTCTCCGACGTATATTAAATGCGCGAAAGTCGTCGCATATGATTCTTAATCGCATTCTATACAAGCTATCGAAGCATAGCGTTGCATGAGGGTATTATATTACCTTGTTGACCATGTGGTATTTGCTTCTTGAAGCCTAATACATTATAGTGAGCCATAGTTACTACGGGAAGAGAAAGTCCTGCATAAAACACAATTTTTAATGCGCAATGCCTTGGTTATTGAATTTGAAAGATACAGACAATCCTGGACAAAACCATCTACGACACTCTATTAAAACATTCCTTTGTGGCTTTTTTTACCAGTTAGACCGGAATAATTTACTCGTTTGCCCCCCTCCGTCCCCCAAAACAATGTTGGACGTTTTATCCGTATTCTACGAATCCAATCAACATTGAATGGTGGGGGAAAGGGGGAGGTTTTCTAAATTTACGATAACATTACGATATTTTGTCAAGTATAATTGGAAGTGTCGCAGATGTTTTGTCCAGGATTGTAGCTCTTTTTAATCTGTGCATAATGTTGTAGTCTTCTTTATCTGCGCGGAATGACTTGGCGTCACTCAGATAAATACGTCTTTCTTCACTTTATAGATGGTGAATGTCTGCCAAATGATTTGATAATTTGCAAAGGTTTTTCTTTCCGCACAGAAGACAGTCTGGCGCGTTCGTGGCATCGAGCGAAATGATTCCTCTTGTCAAACGGGACGCAGGGACTTCAACTTCAACTTTGTTTAAACACGGTACTATTTCACAGTATATTAAAATATATTATTTACAAAAACAACCAGAAAAAAAGTGATCTTCCAATAGGCCGTGTGCTAACTACTATAAATATAAAAAAATATAAGTTAACATTGCATCAATCTACATTGTTTTACCCCACTTTTAAAAGTTACTACACTTCCTAGCGACTTCAGGTCATTTGGAGAGCATTCCAAGTCTCCGCACCTCTGTAGGCCAATGATTTTTTCATAGCATTAGTATTTGGCATTGGTAATGTATAATTAAATTCTCTATGCCTAGTGTTATGATTATGGACTTCTTGTGTATTGATGAAAATATCCTGCGGGTAGTTTGGAACTATTTTATGTTTAATCTTATACATTAATGTAGCAAGTTGTTGTTCCCTTCTTGTTTGCAGATCTGAAAATCCTGTCTTGATTAGAATATCTTTTGATCGCGTTTCATATCCTTCACGGGTAATAATACAAAACGCTCTATTTTGGAGACGCTGAAGTTTATCTGATAAAACCTTTCCTATAGGCAGACCCAAACTTGCGAGCAATAATCAAAGTGTGGTTATGGATTATTTATTTATAAACAGTTATTAAAGTATTATAATCAACAATATCCCGCAGTCTTCTAATAATGCTGAGTGTTTTTGGTCAATTCGCTTATTGCTACCTATAACCATGAATTCTGTTTTCTTATTGTTCAAAGTTAATTTATTAACTGACATCCAAGTCGAAACATTTATTAAATCTGTGTTAATATTCTCTAAGATCACATTAATATCGCTATTAGATGTTGCAATTTGGGTGTCATCGGCAAACATATCTGGTCTAGTGTGTCTTAAACATTTTGAAAAATCATTAATATAGTCGATCAAAAACAATAATGGGCCAAATCCCGAGCCTTTTGGTATTCTGGTTTTCACAGTTAGGGGGTCTGACAGGTGACCATTTACTTGACAATATTGGATTCGGTATGATATGATCGCAACCAACAGAGTGCCATGCCTTTTATGCCATAAATTTTAAAGTTTTTTTAGAAGAATGTCGTGGTCAACAGTATCAAAGGCCTTTTTTAAATCTAAAAATACAACTCCATAATTTAATTGTCCTACGTCCATGTTTTGGTACCATCTATTAGTGATATCTAATAGAGCTGTGGTTGTTGAATGGCATGGTATATAAATCCGTGTTGGGAATTTGTTAGTAGGTTTGAAGCTATAAGATAGTCATATAATTACCTCCGCCAGGAGGTTATGTAATCATCTGGGTTTGTATGTGTGTGTGTATGTGTGTGTGTGTGTATGTGTGTGTGTATGTGTGTGTGTATGTGTGTATGTGTGTGTGTATGTGTGTTTGTCTGTGAGCACGATAACTCAAGAAATACCAAACATATCCGTACGAAATTTTGTGAGTGCATTTCCCATCGGCTAAGGAAGAACTGATTAAAATTTGGTTGAATTTGGTTAAAAATTGAATGAGAAATAACAAAAGTTTGTCTTGCTTTTCCCGGTCAATTAAATAAAACTTTATACTGAATGCGTAATTAGGACGTGCATAATATATGCATCAGCCATTCAAATTCTAATAACAATAGATTACTTAAATATTTTGCGCGTAGGCGGAGGTATGCAGTCTCTGAGTGCCCTCTAGTTGGTTATGTATCAGTTTCTCCATAATCTTCGCTATAATTGAAATAACAGATATCGGTCTGTAATTTTCCATATCGTGCTTAGCTCCTGTTTTGTGTATTGGAGCTACCCTAGCGACTTTCCAATCAGATGGGAATATACCAGTTGCGATTGATTGATTAAAAATTAATACAATTGATGGAGTAATTGCTGGAGCTTCGGTTTTCAAAATTTTTGCTGAAATTCCATCGATGCCGGATGCTTTAGAGGCAACCAATCCCTGAAGTAAACCTAATATTTCTGGTTCTGTAATTTCTCTAAAACAGGTTAACTGATTTACTGAATTTTGAACGTCGCTATAAGATAACTTTCAGGATTGATTGAGGTATATCATTCGAAAGCTTATCTCCCATTTCTACAAAATGCTTAATATTAAATGCATTTGAGATATTTATCGGATCAGTAATTTCAACAGAATAAATTCTTACTTCTAGAACTGTATTCTCTTTTTTAGACTTATTAATTAACTCATTAATCGTTTTCCAGGTTTTTTAAAGATCACCTAGGTTATTATGTAATTTATTTTGAAAATGACTGCGGATTGTATCTTTCACTAGTTTATTATAACGATTTAATTCTTGCATGGCGGTAGTCGGACCAGTCAGTCATAGACTTTGATAACACTGCTTTGCATTTTAAATATGTCTTTTCCTGATTTCTAAAAATAAGATCATTCGTTAATTAATAACCACGGGCACGGTATTTGTTTACTGGATACTTTATGTCTTTTAAGCGGGGCATGTATATTTACAATCTCTAGGAATTTAATCGTCCAAGGATTAGAATGGATGAGATTCAAATTTGATAACGATGTTAGATTACACATAAAGTCTCGTTCATTGAAGTGTTTATATGTATACGTGATTTCAATAGTTTTCGGGTTTTTTTGGGACACCCTGTAGATTTGTAATAAATTTCAATTCTGATGCTAGTGACGTGCGATTGTTGTCTAGGAGAACACAATTAATATCCCCTAAGATAATACTTTCTTTGTCTTCGTTATCAATTAATTTTAAACAACTCTCAAATTTATATACAGTAGAGTGCTGATTGGATCGCTTGGCGGTCTGTACCAAGTGGTAATTAGGGGTGGCTTAACTTTGTTTTTAATAATTTCAATTGTTGAGGTTTCAAGATCATTATCATTTATGTCCGGTCTAAGACAATAATTTATTGTATTTCTAATGTAGAAACTAATACCACTGACCCCCAAATCTATTTCTATCTTTGGAAACCCAGTAGTAGCCGTGTATTGTTATTACTACTACTCAGGTGCTATACTGTTGTCCATTCTGCTTTCATTAATTGCAAGGACATCAATCAATTCATTCGTCTATATGTTTCGGCAGACTAGTAATATTTAAGCTGGCTATTTTAAAGCCACGAATTGTTGGTACTAATTCATCTTGTTTGAAGGAGTTATTGCTTAATGTATCAATATTTTGGGGTTGCCATAGGAGTTTGATTTACATTTTCAAGATTTGTTTTGTCAGGATTATTAATTAATGCTACAAATATGGTAGATGTATTCTAGATCACTGATCTTTGAAAGACTTGGTCAATGCTTCAGAAAGTTGATATAGTTCTTTGCTAGTGTTGCTGTACCTGTTATATTCAGGTGCAATCCAGAGGCATTAAGATTAGATATGTTAATATTATGATGCTGGACAATTGCCCACTTGTATTTACTACAAAGCTTAGCTAAAAGATTATTCGTGCTTTTTATCTTTATGTTCATTGATTCGTCTTCTGTTTGTATAATTTCAGAAATAGCAACTTTACCTACTGTAAACTGTTCGTTACTATACCTGTACAAAGAGATTCCATTTCTTTGACAATTTCTTCTGGTTCTTTCTGGTGGATGTCATTCGTCCCGACGTGTAGCACAATGAGTTCGGGGTTCTTTTCAAGAGTAGGCTTCACGTAATGTTTCATATCAGTAACCGATGCTCCAGGAAATGTCTTTACTATGGTCTTCCTGCCGATCGGACGCCGTAACCGTGATAGATTGAGCATTTTGATCGCGGAGTCGCCCAGGATGGCTATTGGGCCTTCGGTAGAATTTGATCCATTATTCTGCTGATTATGTTTATGTTTAGTTCTCATTGATTTTTCCTTCGATTGTCCTTTTGGTTTTTCAAGGGTTGGTCTCTGGTAGCTTTCATTTACACCAGGAGAAGCTGTCTCGTTACTTAGCCCAGCATCATCGTCATTTTGTGATTCTGATAAAATCTGTAATGGGTTATATTTATTTGTCCCGGCGAAATCAGTCATTTCAGGTTTATCGGCAGTTAGTACTTTCCTTGGGCTGTTCACGCCATTCTTTTTGCTATGTCGGTTTTCTTGTAGACGCCAATTAATGGGGTCCCGATCCAGATGTTAGACGTGGGATGTTCGGGCAGAGTTGGCAGACTGCCTTACGCGCGTAAAAACAACAATCTGCTATCTATAATTCATATATAGTTGAAGCCAAATGCAGCTTTTTTGCATACCAAATGAAGTAATTGGCGAAGTAATTTTTAAAATCAACATGGTCTAAGCCGAGAAAATCAAAGGTAACGTTCATGTAAATTAACGTGATTTTTTATCACATATAAAACAACCGTCACCGGCGACATGTTGTGATTTCCTTTGTCTAGCTCCTCATGAATTATTAATCATTTAATAATTTTGTTTGTGGAAACACCACGTAAATTTATTATTGCAAAGCTTTCGATCCGTAAGCCCGGATCTTCATCAGTGCTAATAATATGAATATACTATATATATACCATATTATACCATATTATTAGCACTGATGAAGATCCGGGCGTAAGGATCGAGGGCTTTGCACTAATAAATTTACGTGGTGTTTCCACAAACAAAACTATTATATGTTTATCGCCATGCAAACATACAAAGAACTTATTAATGATTTGTTTAAATGATTGATAACGCTAAGTCGGACTTGGAGAACTGTCTATCCCTACAAATCACAGGGCCAAAATCATGACAGGTTTGAATCGATTACCGAATCAACTTAATTGCTATTCCAGACTTTAAAATATAAAAAAACGGCATGATCTTACAAACTGTCTTACAATGTATTCAACATTACATACTATTACAAGACCAAGCTAGAAAATTCTATAAGTCATTGCATGTGCACAGTTGTACACCAGTAACTGCAGTATAGACATTGATGGTACTTTAACCTGTAGTTACTCCTATAGTTATAAATGCCAGTTAGATGTGCTTGATGTTAAACCATTAAAATGTTAAAAATTCACAGATGAGATACTTTTATTAAAAAAATACAGCATTGATATACTGTTCCTTCCAATGTTGCCCCAGCCAATATCTCTGCAACTCAGTTCCTAGAATTTCTCAGAACGAAATTCAAATTTGTATTTCTCACACTGTCGTCTCAGCGTTGTTCCAAGAGCAGGGTTTCCGCAGTAAAATACCGATACTTCACCATGATTGTGTTCATTTAGTTCCATAAATACCTGCAAACAATCATTTGGAAAAAGATTATCTATTTCACTAATAATATACATAAAAATATTACTCGACTGTGATTGGTTGATTTCAGTGCAGTTAATCTCAATCAGCAGTGCAAGATTCTGTAACGACAGTACGAAAATGTGTAACAACAGTGCAAAAATCTGTGACGAACTGATCTGATTGGTAGAAAAAGCAATGGAATCCAAAATCAACCAATCAGCTTAAAGCAGTCGCCTAGTAACGGCACAGATGATATATAATACCAGATGTCTCACTCAGCCAAAATTGTGTCCGTGTTGTTTTAATGAGCACGCGTTGGCCGCCATATTGGCAGTAAGTGTAATCCGGCACGCCATGAAACGTGAGCAATCACGCATTTTGGCAGTAAGCGCTATTTTGGCAGTAAGTGTCGCACGCGTCATCTGGCGTGATAGCCTCGCGAAAATCGCGGACACGAAAATCATAGGAATAGGTATAGAGTGATACATCTGGTATTATCTATCATCTGTGGTAACGGTCACAGATTGCTTCAAAACAAAACGAACCGAAAAGTGGAGCTCGTGTGAAAACATGGCATTTATCTTTTTTTAAGTTGGAAAAAACTTTATTTTAAACAAGCTAGTAGCAAATTTAATTTTTGAGTGAAATTTTCAAGTCGTTATAGCGTTGCATAATGTGATACAAGAAAGCAAGAAAACTTTGTCAGTGGACGGTTCGCTACAAACGTAAGTTAAAACTACAATTGTCTCAAACATTTTTATGTATATTACTAATACGTATAATAGCACGGTTTCTCCTGAAAGTTGGATAAAACAAGCAGGTGGTATAGCTCATAACTCGTCAGTCGTCAGTTTTTCAAAAACCTCAAATCGCACTCGTCCTTCGGATAAAGGCCTGCACAGATATGACAATAGGTGCCAGTAAGTCCAAAATGTAAAATGGGCCTAAGTTTACAATTCAATTCTTAAATGCTATCTAATGGCTTTAATGAATGGCTTTTTAATTATCTATTGTATAACATCCTCCTATAAGTTGTTTCACACACTCCTATAGGTCTTTGCCAGGCGCAAATGAAAGTTATGTTTTGTGTCCCTCAAAGGGAAAGTGCACGCACATGACGCAAATTGTTCAAAATCCAGCTGGTATAACCCGAAGACACGTGTACAGTTTGAATGAACACAAATGCCAATATTTCTGGTTTTAATCTCGATAATTTTAGATTTGAAAGCATCAACTTTTCATCTCTCATCCCCAGTGGATCGATCAGCGTAGTACATTTTCGCAAAGTATCTATCAAAGATAATTTTAAAATTTGCAAAATTTCACGATGGTTCACGTTTCACCAAAGATTGTAAAAGCTACATCCAGCTACTATGAGATCAGTGGGATCTTTCCAATTTATGTCCTTCCTGTTATGCGCGAATCAAATCGAAACCTTGACATCCCCGCGGGCATACCTGGGGAATTTGCTTGTTTAGTATTTGAAGAAAGCGGGAATTTGAACTTTTTTCTAGTGGAAGGTGGGGAATTTGCTTAAGGGGTCGGGAATTTGAATTTTTCTTTTAAACACGTGTTCTGAATCCAAAATGGCGTCAACGACAATGAACGAGTTCAAGAGCGAAGAGATTAACTTTGTCCTTGGTTGGCTACAAGAAAACGGCTTTGAACGATTAATTGAAGAGAGTTACTTAAGGGAAGAAAAACTTTGTAATTCCAAAATTACGAAATGCTATAGCTTCCAATTCGTACGTTGGGTGGGGTATTTGAACTCCAATTTTTCACAATACGTGGTGTATTTGAACGGGCATTAGGGACGGACCATTTGATTTTTCATGGGGGGGGGGCGCATTTTTGAGAGTGCTCGATTTTTTTTTGGACCTCACCGACTCCGCACGATTTTTTTTT